GGATTCCACTCCTAGTCCCCTGTCGCTTAGGCAATTTTGGAAATTTTTCCTGTGATCTCACACTAAACATTCTCCTAGCTGCCATGCAAGTGTTAGCTTGTGTTATCTCACACAGTAGGTGTGTGTTATGCCTTCCATTTCATTGCCCTGCATGCCACGCATGCTGCAGCCCTCTTTGACACTGAGTCCATTTATTTTCCATTTTCTCATTTGCCAGATCCCAAACGGAGGCCAAATTATTTTTCTGCCATGTACTTGACTTTATGGGCCAAATCCTCAGCTGATGCAGACTGGCATAGCTCCACTGACACAAACAAATCGTAAAAAGAATACAGACAAAAATACTGTCATTTCCACACTATACAGTAATGGAACATTAGTGCAGTTTTGGGGTTGGTGAAGAAACTCAGCTGTTAGCCTCATTCCTTAAAATGCAGCTGAGGTTTAATATTTCAATAGCCCATGAATGAACTCCCTTGTACATTCTGCTGACTATATTAAGCCCCAGGATCCCAGAAGACCAGGCAAATTTTGCTATGCCAAGCCACCTACTGGGGGGGGATGAGTGTCTTGCAGTTCAGACAGCTTCTGTAGGCTGCCAGTCAATGTTCACTGTCTTAAGACATCTAGAGCTAGTAAATAGAAAAGGTCAAGCCCATAATGTTTACCACAGAGTGAACACATATAAATGTTGAGACTGTGATTAGATACTATCTCTTCACTCCTCTTGCAGGTTTACAGATTACATACCAGCTTATCAGATTCATAACTCATACATAGGGCCTTACCAAATTCATGGCCATGAAAAGCACGTCCTGGACCGTGAAATCTGATCTTCCCCTGTGAAATCTGGTCTTTTGTGTACTTTTGCCCTATACTATACAGATTTCACAGGGGAGACCAACGTTTCTCAAACTGGAGGTCCTGACCCAAAAAGGAGTTGCAGAGGGGTTGCAATATTTCTGCGCTGCCTGCAGAGCTGGGCGGCCAGAATGCGGCAGCTGTTGGCCGGGCTCCCAGCTCTCAAGGCGGTGCCCCACCAACAGCAGTGCAGAAGTAAGGGTGGCAATACCATACCGTGCCATCCTTACTTCGCTGCTGCTGCTGCTGCTGGCGGTGGCTCTGCCTTCAGAACTGGGCTCCTGGCCAGCAGCTGCATCTCTGCAGCTGCCCAGCTCTGAAGACAGCATCGCCACCAGCAGCAGCGCAGAAGTAAGAATAGCAGTACTACAACCCCCCCTACATTAACCTTGTGACCCTCCTCCCCCCACCACTCCTTTTTGGGTCAGGACCCCTACAATTACAACACTATGAAATTTCAGATTTAAATAGCTGAAATCATGAACTATATTATTTTTAAAATCCTATGACTGAAATTGACCAAAATGGACTGTGAATTTGATAGGGCCCGACTTATTCAGTTTTGTCCGTTTTTATTCAATTATTTCAGCTCTCTGGTTTTATAAACTTTTATTTCTTATTTTATCTTTCCCTCTGTCAGGAAATGTCTTCTGGGGTCAGTTTTGAAAGCACTGCACTATGATTTAGGTTCATGACTCCCATTAATGTCAGTAAGAATCATGCTGCTAAGTCTCTGAGCACTGTCTTTAAAATATACCCCCTAGTATTTTCAGCTATTTCTGCATCGTAAGCACTTCTGTATAGGATGCTTCATGTCATACAAATAGATGCTTAGCATATACAGAGTAGCCAATGAAAAAGCACTCTTTTCTCTACACCTCCCCTCCGCCCCCTGTAATTGCGCTGGTAGAGGAGATGAATGAAAGCCTCTGGGGAATGCAGATAAAAGGACCAGGGTCAGACAAGGAAGGTTAATGCCTTTTACAGAATCTCATCATAGGACTTAGTATAGCTGCAGCACAGCAGAGAAGCAGATTGTGCAGCTTGGTCAGCAGCACACACAGAGCAACAACATGAGCATTAAGCTAATTAAATAGACAAAGCAGTTTTCAGGATCAACAACTGTCCCTGTACCCACTCACTTTTCAAATTAAGAGATTTTATTTATGTAAGTAGTTCTTATTTCTGTATATATGCCTATAAACTGACACACGACCGCCCACCCCATACCTTACATTACACGTTAAAGTTAACTTAAAAGCATTGACCAGTGTTTGGTACTGTCTGCATGGCACTGGTCCTGCCCAGGGATCGTTACCCCGTCACAGAAGAGACTGGAGTGTGCTAGGGACCAAGAGTGGAACACAGAGGATATGGATTTTTATAAGCTCCCTACCTGCATTTATAGGAGTCACACTTAATAAGCTCCACAACTGTGCATTTTATACACTTCATGTATATTTATTTTTGAGCAGCCAAAATTGTTCTAGTTGTTTTACAGAATAAAGTAAAGGTAAGTAATGTTGACGATCCATGGCCTCGATCCTGCAAATACTTGTGCACATGCTGAACTTTAGTGTCTTTGAGGACCTGCTCATGGGTATAGTCACAGGCATAAAATTAAACACATATGTAAGTGATTGCAGGATTAGCCGGGACTAATACATTCCACTTAGATGAGATCTGCACTTGCACCACAGGTAGAACCAGCTGTTCCCTGGTGCAGCTGCTCTTTTCCTGCCCTTTAATTCTACAAATAATGCATCTTTTCCCCCTCAAAAGACTATCTGGCACTTTTACTAGAGATGGCTGGAGGACAACAACTGTGTTCCATGGCAACTTTTGAGGTTTTGAAATTTATTCTCATTCTGCATTGGAGTGAAAACAAAACATCTTGAAAAGTTTCATGAAACTGAATAGTGTTGAAAAGTCCATTTTTGAATAAAAAAGCACAAGTTTTCAATTCAGATCTCTCTCTCTCTCTCATCAGAAGTGACAAGAGAGCCCATGTGCCAATATATCCTTCACTATGAAAATGTTGCCAAAACAAATACATCTCTGTGAAACACTTCAATGAAACAGCATGTTTTGAAAACATTTCATTTGGTTGAACATGTTTGAACCAGATCTACTTTTTACCTATTTTTTCCCCTCCTACAGTATGGAAACTGTATTTTTATTCTTCAGTGCCTTATATATTACTATTAGGAATGAACAAGGTGAACAAGGTCCAGAACAAGGGTGAACAAGTCCAGATAAAATAAGAACCCCACAACTCCTACAAACTTTTATTCAAAACTCAAATGGAAACCAAATTTTCCTTCAGGGTTCAAAATTTTTTTCTTAGGGTATGTCTACACTGCAGATACTAGAGCGGCACAGCTACAGCACTGCAGGTGAGCCTCTGTAGCACCTTAGTGTAGACACTTGCTACAGTAATGGTGGGGGCTTTTCTGTCACCGTAGTTAATCCACCTGCTGGAGAGGCAATAGCTAAATTGATGAAGAATTCTTCTGTTGACCTAGTGGTGTTTATACCGGGACTTAGGTCAGCTTAACTATATCTCTCAGGGGGGTGATTTTTTCACACCCCCTCTCCCCCAAGCAGCACACTTCAGTTGACCTAAGTTTTAGGTATAGACCAGGCCTTAGTTTAAGGGAAGCGGATGTAGTGAAATGTGGCAAGAAAAGCTGTTCCCACAATATTTCCATTCTGACTGGAAGCACAAAATACTGGAACTCTCACAGGAAACCTTGTTCTCATGAAATTCCAAGCTTCATTTTCAATCTCAAGTGGTTAAAGGTAGATGCAAAATGTCTCAGCTAAGCATCCAAACTGTGGGGTGATTATCTCACTGAACTAAGCCTGGGAACCTTTCAGTGTTTCTCTGTGTGTGATACCATTCTGCAATTCAACTTTGTGATTGCTGATATAATTAAACTGAAAAACTGGACGCTTTCTTTCAAAGAAACATAACTAATGTCATCAGGGATTAAACTTAATCTAAACTAAATCTCTGTTGTTTATGTTTCCACTTGCTCCTAAATCATACAGAAGGACGACTTTCTGCCCACATTTAGCTAGTAAAGTTTCCAGAAATAATTGTTTGATCTTTTTGGCAGCTCCATCACACAGGGCTGAGGGACTCCCCCCCCCTTCCTTTCTAAAACAATATTTCTGATTTACTGCATCTTTTTTTCCACCATCAGACACTGTAGCCAGGTAAACTACATTTTGTCAGAAAAGGGAGTAGAGGAAAGGGCATATATACTCTCTAGCAATTGAAATCTGGCTCTAAACCCTAGGTGGTGTCTATATTTCTAGTAACTGGCAGCCAGAAGCCTTTCAACCTGTCAACACACAATGGGGGAATTCACAAGGTCCAGATTTACATTGCTCACAGTTGCGGACAAATTAAATCATATGCTGTAAAAGGCTGCACACAAGAACAGGTATGGCAACCAACTCCTGAGCAAGCATCCTTGATCTCTCTTCTATTTCAGGCTTTTTCAGACAGGTAATCAGACTCCATAAATCCCTGTGAAACTCGGGGTTTTGTGATAACCGAATTAGCCTTTCTGGACCCATGGCAGGTTCTTGCCCTTCAAAGTACAATATTTTAGAAGCAGCTTCTTACATTCTTTTACTTCTCAGACCAAGGATATGTCTACACTACAACGGTACAGCTGCGTGCTGGATCTACGCCGCTGTTGTGTACATACTGCCTACAACGACAGAAGAGGTTTTTCCATAGCTTTAGCTATGGCTCTCCTGTTGCTGTAATAAATTTATCTCCCCAAGGGGAGGTAGCAGTGCCTACACAGGGGCTTAGGTCAGATTAACTGTCCCCCAGGGTGTGAATTTTTCACAACCTTTGTTGGGTTTGTTTCACCATTTTGTTTTTCTATTATTGTTGTTTGCCCTCCATGTTGGGTCCCTGCCTTGTCGCCCACTTGGCGCTCTTTTTGAATAATGGGGGGAAAGTGAGAGGGGGAAAGGTCACCTGACTTGGTGAAATCTACCTAGCAACGGCAGACTATATAAAGACTGTACACCCTGGATGAGGTGCTGTCCACCCCAGTGGCAGCCGTGCTTGCTCCGTGTCACCTTGGAAGAAGAAAAAAAAAGATTGTACCTACCTCCTCCTTACATTGATCTTGATCCCGCTCCTGCGTTGTTGTGGTCCTCGTCACTGTCCCGTCCATTTTGAGCCCCGGTGGCATCAGCTCTTGGTGATTCCTGATCCAGTCGTTTTCCTGGTGTTGTCTCGGTCCCTTGTGTCCCTGTGAAGGAAATGATGATGTGCATAATTATTTGTCTTTCTTTGTAACCCACCTTATTAGTTTGTGGTCCTGGCTTTAAGCCATTGAAAAGTTAACTACCGAGTTATTTTTTTAATAAATCTCTGTTATTGTATCTTAATTACATTCCCGTTGTATTATTGGTTGGGAAAAGGGTCACCACCGGTGAATATATATGGAATTGAGGAAGAACCTCGGGGGAAGGGGGCCATTATAAATAATGCCTCTCTTTGTTAAAGCTGTTTTTTTACGCTTTTTGGTTAACACCTTGAGCGACATAGTTAGGTCAACCTAAGTTTTAGAACAGGTCTTCTCAGGCAGGTAATACAACTGCTTTTTCCTAGAAACTTGGTAGAACAACAACATTTCTTTTTCTATCTTACTGGAAGACATTCTTCAGAGTAGGTTTTTTGCTCTTTCCTCTGCCAAGTCTAGGGCTGGTTGTAAATTTTCCTTTGAAACAGTTTTTCAACAGAAAATTAGATTTTTGACTGAATGAATTTCTCTGCAAAAAGTGCATGTTTTCTATGTTAATTTTTGATTTTTTAATCAAAAACAGAATGCCCAATCACACAAAAGATTTTGGTTTTTGATATTTTTTGCTAAAAAGACAAAATTATCCACCAGACAGAGAGGGGAGATCAGTCTCTGACTGGCTATAGTCAAGAAACATCAGATGTCTAATTCCTTATCTGTTTACCCTTCCAATTACTGTTTCTTTCAAAGGACAGGAAAAAACTAAGCTTTCTAACTCATACAAGTTTTACAGGTTTTATGTTGTTCTGACTACCAAATAACACTTCACTGTTTTTTTCATAAGATACTCCTTGAATTTCTCATCATGGTGTGAGCAGTGAGAAGGTCCTAATACAGCGGTCGGCAACCTTTCAGAAGTGGTGTGCCGAGTTTTCATTTATTCACTCTAATTTAAGGTTTTGTGTGCCAGTAATACTTTTTAACATTTTTAGAAGGTCTCTTTCTATAAGTATATATTATATAACTAAACTATTGTTGTATGTAAAGTAAATAAGGTTTTTAAAATGTTTAAGAAGCTTCATTTGAAATTAAATTAAACGCAGAGCCCCCTGGACCGGTGGCCAGGACCCGGGCAGTGTTAGTGCCACTGAAAATCAGCTTGCATGCCGCCTTTGGCACACGTGACATAGGTTGCCTACCCCTGTCCTAATAGCTAGCTAGCTTTTGGTGTAAAAGTATGGAGGAAATATTATAACCCCAAATCCATCCTCTGAAAGTTATGTCTGTCTTCCCTCAAGTCTTTGGGCTTAATTGTTCCTCTCTCTGGAGAGCATTCTCCTAGCACAATAGGATTGGGAACCGAGCTGTTCTTTTCAGAGGACAAGGTAACTGCATCCTTCTCCCTTTTCCTAGGATGATCCTGTGATTCATTCCTTCCATTTTACCTTCCAGTTTTTGCCCTTGTTTTTTCTTTGCTGTGTGAGGCTATGATATACATTAGATTGTCAAACTCTATATGAACAAGATAGGGGATGAAGGTGGTTAGGGTGCTAGTTTGAGGCTCTAGAGACCTGGGACACCATAGTGTATCATGGGAGATGTAGTCTAGCCACAGAGCCCAGTCCATTGAGGGCAATGGGGGCATGAGGCACCTGAACTACAAGTCCCATGAGACACTGTGACATCATTTCCAGATCAAAACATCAATTTTCAGATGAATTTTGGGGGGTTTTGATTTTTTGCCAAAAAGTAAAAGTTATCTGTGAAAAATTAAGAAAAAAATTATTTTCATTTTCAGTAATGTGTTCTCTAGAAAAACAACCAACCCATTGTCTGACCAGCGCTAGTATCTAATCACATAAGAAAAAGCCTCTTGTGTAAGGTTTCCTTTACTCTCTCTCCCTTAAAGATCCTTCAGCAGAAAATCTGCCCTGGCCAATTGAGACACCTACCCACTGCTTCTCTATATAATAGATAATGGGCATCCTGGGAGGCACACAAGGGCTAAATACAGTTGCTCTAAAGCAGGGGTGGGGAAACTTTTTTGGCCCGAGGGCCACATTGGGGTTGCAAAACTGTATGGAGGGCCGGGTAGGGAAGGCTGTGCCTGGCCCCCGCCCCCTATCCAACCCCTCCCACTTCCCACCCCCTTCAGAACCCTCGACCAATCCAACCCCACTGCTCCTTGTCCCCTAACCACCCACCCCCCAGGACCCCATCCCCATCCGCCCCTGGGACCTTATCCCCCATCCAACGCTCCCTGCTCCCAGTCCCTTGACTGCTCTGACACCTATCCACACCCCCGCCCCCTGACAGGCCCCCCCAGGACTCCCTCGCTTATCCAAACCCCAGTCCCCTGACCGCCCCCGAGAACCTCTGCCCCATCCAACTGCCCCCTGATCCCTGTCCCCTGACTGCTCCCTGGGACCCCCCGCCCCTTATCTAACCCCCCAGCCCCGGCCCCCTTACCATGCTGCTCAGAGCAGCATGTCTGGCAGCCGCGCCACCCGGCTGGAGCCAGACACGCTGCCGCACTGCTCGGCAGAAGCATGCAACCCCGCCGCCCAGAGCGCTACCCATGTGGCAGCGTGGCTGCGGGGGAGTGGCCAGAGGCTAACTTCCCCAGCCGGGAGCTCAAGGGCTGGGCAGGACGGCCCGTGGGCCGTAGTTTGCCCACCTCTGCTCTAAAGTTTTCAGTTTCTTTCACCTCCAGTTCCTACTGAATGTATGGTCCCTATGGACAAAAAATTAAACTCTCACCTGTAAATTGTGTTTATATAAATCGGACTCACAAATCTTCCCAGGAATCGGACCCACAAATCTCCATGTTTATTTATTTGGTTTGCTTATTTATTTTGCCTTTGGTTTTGCATCAGATACAAAAGAGTGGATCAATTTTATGTTGTTTATTCCAAGGATGCCAATCTGGGCATTCTAATAAAAGGAGCCTATGACTGGCATGATGATTTTCTCATCTCAGATTGTCCTACCTGAATGTCAGGCAGGAAAGATATCAAGTTTGATTGTTAAATCTGCTTTGCAAAAACCCAATTTACAGTCAGAATAAATTCCTTTTTTCTTGATTCGGGAATTTCATTTTGCCTATATTGAGTAGGATTATGCATTTATTGTGCACCCAAAACTCCCATTGACTTCAAAGAATTTTGAGCACACAAAGAGTGCAAGATCAAGGTCAACGTAATTCTATCATTTGATAATACAGTATAGTATCTGTATGGCAATGTGAAATTACTTACTCCCATTTAAATGCTAAGTGCCCTAAACACTAAAACATTGTAAGTATATCTCTATTGAGGAGTTGTTAAGGACTGGTATAGCGTGGGCGTTGCAACTTAGCATTGAAATGCATTAGTAGAGCACTGAGAAAGAAGCACCTCTCTCACCTTATGCTTAGCTTAATATGCTATCCATCCCTTCCTTTTATGAACACTACATTTACTCACAAATTAAAAAAGTTTCCCATGTCTGCACCATACATGAACAGCAGAGTCACACGTGATAGACAGAGCTATCCACCACAATCATTGTACCTTTCCCTGTAAAACATCTTTGCAAAACTATAGAAGTTATGTTACCCAAGTTATAAATAGTTATTGTCAGTGCTGATAGGCCAACAGGCTTTACAGCTGCAGACAAGAACATGGTTACATCCTTTCACTCTGCCTGCTTTTTTTTTTAAAGTTAGTTGTTACTGATTTTCAAGAGTAAGTGCATCCAATAAAACTATCCATTTCAACAGAAGAACAGAACACAGACTAATAAAAACTGGTGGAAATAACAGGTGTAACCCTTCTGCCCATCTAAGTTGGCAGCAACAAGGGCCGGGTTCTGTATCTAGGGGTTCCGTTTCAATAACACAATGCAAAACCGGCTCGAGCCCCCACCCAGTGACCTGGGACAATTACATACCACCCCCTGGGCGCCCCTAAGAGGCAATACTTCCCCTCTCGCAAGCACGGAGTCTGAGTGTAACAGAAAATGTTTAATAACATGAGGTAAATGACATCAGCATTAAATTGGATAAAAAACACCACAAACAGGATTCATAACACATACCATGAGCAAAAAAACCCACCCCAGCAAGTTGGGCTGTGTCCTTTCCCTTGGGTTCTTGAAACCAGCAACTCAAGGTTCACCAAAGTCCCAAAAGTCCAACAACCCCCTAAAGTCTCTGTCCCTGGTCAGTGCAGCCCCAGAGTTCGGGGGGGGGGGCACGCAGGGTGTTAAGGGGCACCTTACGTGATCCGAGGCCGACAGGGTTCCGCTGCAGCCTTCACCACGAGCCGCTCCACTCCACCAGTTGCCCCGTGAGCTGCTCCCGCCGTCCCACGAACTGCTCTGGCAGCTGCTCCACTCTGCTCACCGACCTGTGAGCCGCTCAGCTCTGCTCCACTTCAGCCGTCCCTTGGGCTGCTCCCACAAGGCTCCGCTCTGCTCGCTCCCCCTCCAGCCGCTCCACTCCGCTCCGCTCGCAAGGCTCCACTCTGCTCGCTGCTCCTCCAGCCGC